TTCTATCAGCTCTGCCAACACACCCAAGGACAAGGGCCCACGCTGAATCACAAATAGCGACCTGCGCTGTTCAGCATCGTGCCTCAGCGACAGTTACCACCAACTCAAAGTGTGATTGAGGTGACTCGGCAGACACTGCCAGCTAGTCACTATTTCAACTTCTTCCTGGAGAACAGCTAGTGCACACTTTGCAGCCTCCTGGCAGGTGGGTGTGGTGAAGTCGCCAAGTTCGAGCCAGTGCAGAGTGACCAGGACTGTCACACTCCCACGACAGGCCCACGGCTGCCCAGAGCGTGCTCCGTGACACCCAGGTTCCTGGGGAGAGAAGGTGAGAGCTGCCATTGGCCTGGGGCTTGGAACAACTGCATGGCGCACAGACCCCTGCTGACGGGAACATCGTCCTCTGCCCCATGAGCAGGAAACTTCTACCGTGTTTGAGTCGGCCCAGGTGGGAGGTGTACTTCCAACCGCAGTCACCATCACCCTGACCTGGGCAGGCGCTGTGACACAGCCGTCCTAACGACAGGACACGTCAGTACAGCCTAAGAAAAACTCGACACCTAAAATTACTGAGTGTTGTGCAAAATCAGTTACATTCATTCCTCTGTGGCCCTTGTCTGTAAGCCTAAGAAACAGGTGAAAGTCTGGGGGCCCAGCCCCCTCCCCACAAAGGGAGCCCGTGCGGGTGCTGGTGGGTCTCCAAGCTAGGGAGGGGTGCAGCTGGCCGCCCCGCTAGGAAAACCCACCTCCTGGGAAAGCGTACACCCCTGTAACCAAAATGTTTACGGCTAGGTTCTGCCTTTATTACATGTAGATGATTTGTTTTTAGCAAAGAAAACGGGACTGTTTTCTAAAAGCCCACCTAAAAAACCAAGTTGCCCCAACATGGTTTACATCCATTTCCCATTGGACTGTGCTTGTGCCTCTTGGCATCTGAGGAGTTTGCGCGGCGTCTAACATGCGGAAGGCGTTCCGTGACCGGCTCCCAGAGACCACGCAGGAAGGAATTCAGGACAACACCAGGCCTCGTTGTTTCACTCCTCCTGGTGACGTTCGTAATGACTTCTGGTGTCACCCACATTACAAACGAAAACAGCTTTTACTCTGGGCAGGCATAATTGTATACTATCCCATCAAACAATAAAACATTATGAGCTGAGGCACATTCAGCCTGAAGACGAAGTGATGTATTAACTTCTTGATCATATGCCAGGACTAACAGATGAATGTGAACAGACATCAATAATTACAGCCTGGACTGTAGCTGCTGGTTTCTAACCCTTTAAGTTCAATGAACAAGTAATAACTGGACAGACACACCCTTCAGAATTAGAGGTGGGGAAAGATGACCTCACTCGGTACCTGTCACAGAGAAGCCCCCGGCAGCAATTCGGCAGCAATTCGGTGGGTGGCAGCCCAGGGGCTCAGAGAGGGGTGGGCTGGGGCTTCCAGGAGGCCAGGGAGCAGGTCTGGGGGACACCTGGCACAGGGGCTCCCAGGACCGGGGCCTCTCTCGGGTCTACCTCCCTTCCCCCTTCATTCCTTCCCTTCTGTGCCTCCTTAAAAAACTTGGTCTACATACAAAAGGCACATAGCTAATTAAAAAAATTTAGGCTTTTTGGACTTAAATCTAAAAAGGGGTTACTAACACTAATAAAAAGATAATTATTCCTCAGCTAACCCAGGATTTTACAAGCACGTCTTGAAACACAGCACACGGCCTGGCATTTAATGGGCATTCCTGTCGAAGGCCTGTCGTTACGGTCCAGGGCTCAGGGTCCTCAAGGCCAGTGTGGCGGGAAGCTGGTCCAGCAGCAGGGCTGTACCTGAAGAAATTCTACCAAAAAGAACACACACCCCTGAGTACTCACCGAGGAACAGGAGGAGCTACTGTTGAGATGCCAGGGCTTCGTTTTCACCGGGAGCTCAAAGGCCTGGTCCTCTAAGTTCCTTCTCAGCACTCTGGGTCTGCCGGGGCGGCCCGCCCTGTTCCCACCCGGAGTCCAGAGTGCCCTCCCCAGCGAGCCTCTGTGCCGCCACACTGCGGACTCGTGGGGCTCCTCTGCTTTTAAGGTGAGGAGGCAGGAGGATAAAATAATAAAGACTAAAGAATGCAGCTCTGCCCATTTTGTCAAAACCGACAGAGCACCCCCTCAAACTAGGAAAATGAGGTGCCTCAGTAGCTACACAGGTCAAGGACATGCACAAATCAAATCACCTTTTGGCAGCTCACTGACCTTCACCCTGACACAGAGGCCACTCTCGAGCAGGACACTTCTCCCGAAGCACTTTAATATCTGTTACCATGTCGGAAGGCACTGATGCCACAAATACCAATCTGCATTTGGTTCTGGGAAAGATTTCTATGTACATATTTTGTCCAAATATTACTCTTTGTTTCATCAAAGTCAGCTAAGACTTTAGCAGTGTAAATTTTAAGCCAATAAATAAACAGTTGGCTTGAAAAAAATATTAAACTGACATGAAAAGCACTCATGCCTCTGCCAGACACTAAAAATAAAAGCGGCTGCGGCCAACACGGAAAACTCGAGTGTTCCCGTTGGTCCTGAACTTCACTACCAAGTCGCACTACGTTACTTTCCCACGACGGTGTCTGACAAACATCACCGGGTTTTCCTAAACTTTTTCTTAAAAAAACAAACAAACAAAAAACAGGGAAACTAGAATCTTATTTAAATACCAACAACATGCAATAATTTTTATAGTTTAGTAAGACACACATTTTAAAAAGTAGTATCTTTACCTAGCAAGTGAAAATGTAGATATTTTGAAAATTAATTTTCATACTTTAAAAATTCAAACATGTCCTATCAGAGTAAACAATAAGCTAAGTTATTAAAACATTTAAAAGATAACATTCTAGACAAAAGGCAGCAGCAGGGCAATCGGTAGGTTTTTGAATGTGAGGTTCTAAGCTGTTGTTCCTTGAAGTTCAGATAACATTTCATTCCTGTCCTTGGCCTGTCCCTCCCTTAGCTGTCTAAAAAAACAAGTGTGTTTAAAATATGGAGGATGAGATTTATGATCAGTTGCAGAAACCTGTTTAAACTGCTGATTTATAGTTTTGGCCAAGGTATTTAACTCTGTCATCAGAACTAATTATAGCAAAGCCGAGATTACACAGTCAAACCCTCCTTTTGGTGAAAGAAACAGAATGTGCTGCTGAACATCACAAGCGTCCTGAGGGCTCCCGAGCAGGAACACACTGCCCACTTTACTTCCAGAACCGGCACCGTTAACACTCAAGATTATTGTTCTGCAGTGAGTTGTTTCAGCCTGAAGTACTCAATAAATCAGTTCCATTAATGCCATGCTGATGGTCTGCAATGTATTCATCTCCGTTAATGGTAACTGACATTTACATTACTAATCTAACTCAGGCGTCCCGGGGGGAGTAACCTCGCATGTGAAGCCCCAGGAACCAAAGTTATTACTGACGCAAACACAGCCCTTCCTTTGCTGTGACCAGAGGAAGAGGACAAATGACTGCACTTTGGAGGGAACATGGGCACTCTGAGAATCAGGTTCCCGTTTTAATGCTTTAATGAGTAAAATGTCTAATTCGAATTTAAGCTAATAAAATAAAACTGATTCCAAATGACATGCCAGCAGCGCAAATCAGAGACAGCAGGTCCCTTCCCTCCCTGCAAATCCCTGCCTCCTGCTGCCCACCCCCTTCTGCTGTCCCACGTTCCAGAGCTTTTCACAACCCAGGCCTCCAAAGGGTGGGGCCGTATGACCCTCTTATCATGTGTGTCCCCTGCGCCATCCGAGTTTGCCACAATGCCCCCACTCAACTCAAATGCCCCACCCACATTAGGCCGTGGGGTGGAGTAGGCAACACTGGCGCTGGGACAGGCTGAAGGAGGGTTCCCAACCAGACAGAGTCTAAATGAGGCCACCTGGCAGGGCCTGGGCGCCAGCAAACCGTGCCCGCAGGGGTCACTAAGTGTGCCCAGGAGTGGACGCGGGAAAAGAAAGCCGAGGCAGAAGCTGTGCCGGACGTGCCACCCACCCTGCTCGGAAAGCACACTTCCACTGCAGATGGAACCACTGGGCTGTGCGGTAGGGTTTTTTAAAGGTTCCTATACTGTAAGATTATATTTACCTATTAGGATTTTAAAATGATATGTTGCAGGTAAGCAGTATATGTTTATCTGCAAAATGCAACAGGAAATATTAAATCATAAAATATAAGATTTTGCAATATTTGATCTGGACACCTTTCGTGGTGAATTCTGTAAGTAGATCATCTAAAATCCTACTTTCTCTATTCTGGCTTTTATCACCTAAGCAGAAGTAAGATATGATTTTTGTTCCCTTAAATATCAATTTACTTATTCCAGAACATAGATAAAACACTAAACATGCCAACAATAAATTAGTAAAATTATGTTACTACTCTAAACCTAAAAATAACAAAATAATAATAGAATTCTAATCATGACTCATTTCATATGTTCCTAAATTTATCTGTTATCTGGCCAGAGAAAGTTTGTATCAGACAGCTAGAAGACCTCTGATGAAGCTTGACGGAGGACGGTAAACTGATGAAAACCATGGTAAGTAGTTCTTAATCTCTACTGAGCGCCTAGCAGAGAGGTACTAAAGCACTGAAGGCCTGCCCAAAAGTCAAAGCGTCCAGCTCTGGTCTTGGTACCAGCTGGTGATGTCTCAGAGCCCCTTCTAGTGAGGACGATGACACAGCCATCTAATGATATCCACTTCCCATGGCACCAAACCCCAATTCGGCTTGTTAATGCTTCGGTCTTTTAAGGAGCAATGGAAGAGTAAAAATAATCAAACCACATTCTTAGAAGGTCCAAAGTTACGTTGTCTTCAGTTATAACATTCGAATACAATTATACCATTTTCTCTTCTAAGAGTCAGCTCATAATTTAAAGAATGACACAACTCAGAGATATTCAGGAAAATGTTTCCAGGCAGAGCTGAATTTAAACCCCTCTCCACACACTACATTGTCCTTTTTCTTTATTGCAGTATTTTATCTGAAGGTACACTAAAACTAACCAACTGCTTTCATTACGTGACTGCCAAGTATCAACTCCACTGCATCCAATAAAGAACCAATAGTTACTTCTAAAACATTAAGATACAGTCATTTGTAAAACAGTATCAATTGAGACTTTCCTAGATTTATGACTAATCCATTATAAACAAATGCCCATCTTAAAAAACACAATTCCAGAATAAGTGCAGTTATACTGAGTACAGATAAGAAAGCATAAGGAGCTCATTGGCTATGCTCTACCAGATGGATGGAAAGTAAAATCGACTTGATAATGTCAGTCCCTGTGAATAAATAAATAGACCCGGTCTTTTTTCTGCATGTATGCTCAGACTCCCTGTGCAAATACCAGGACGTTCCATTCCATTCACTTCAATAGAATGAACTCTTTAGAAACAGACTGATAATAAACCCCCGAATTTTATGCTTGTTTTTCTACTTCCACCAGTTTTCTGACACATTTAACATAGGCAGGAGTATCTTTTCAGCCAGCTGAGCAAGTGCAGACTCAAGTGCAACCTCAGGGAAGACACAACATCTGGAAGGACTCGGCAGGTCACATGTACCCCATGTTACTCTTGGTTTCCCATCTCTTCTTCGCTTCAAACCTGAAACAAAGAACATAAAAAAATCTCAATTTATTTCTAAAATATTTTTGCTAAAGTTATATGTTTACTAAGTGCCAAAGTAAAATAAATGTTCACATACTCCATCCATCACAAAATGCACATCAAGCAGGATGAAGAAGTGCCCCCGTGACTACAGTCTCCTAGTCATTCTGCACAAATGCCAGGAGCAACCACGAAGCACGAACTGGATGCACAAAACGTGCCACAGGTGTGTTCGCGTCTATGAAGTCCATGGAATTACCACTAAAAGCCTTAAACTTACCCCCATGCAAGTTTCTTCTTTTTTCGAGCAACCTGTGAATTTTCAGCTTCCTTTTTGGCTTTCACGAAGTTGTGGCAGGCGATTGCTTTGGCAATTTTTACACCAAGCTAAGAATTAGAAGAAAAAGTAAAAATAAATATTTCAGCTAATACACGAATACAAACACTTGAGCACTTGGGGATACGGAAGCTGTGTCAGGAAATGAGGAATCCCTGTGTGTAGGGCTCCAATGGACTTCTACAGGACCGTGGTAGTTCAGGGAGACACAGTTGTGGCCCGTATCCCCTTACCGCCCCCCAGACCCTGCCCTTAGTTGCACCCGTCTCCCGATGGCAAGCCTTCCCACACTGAGGGCCCTCAAGGGTCTGCACAGGTTGAGATGAAGATCTGCGAGCTATTTTGGCACTTCAGTAGGCTGAGCAGGAACGTGCCCCGATAAGACTGCAAGGATTGACAGAGACATCCAGTTTCTTTGCTCTGGGCGAGAATTACAGCGACTCGGGATGGTCACACCAGTTATCTCATGCTGATCAGAAGCTCTGACTGGCAGTCAGAGATGTGATTAATAAAACATGGGAAAGCTAATTACTCCTTCATAAGTGTACTTTGCATGATGAGCAACAGCTTTTAAATTCACTGAGAGAAGGAACTATAATGGATGCTCAGAGGTGAAAAGGCTGCGCACCAGGACCCCGGGACCTGAGTCTTTCCCCCACTGGTCCCTCTGTTCCTACTCCTCCTGACACCCACCTGCCAGTCTGGGAAGGTCCAATCAGAATGAAGCCTCCTCCTCTCCTACCCTACAAGGCCTTCTCTAACTCGACCTGCAAGTCTTTGTTTCTGTGTCTCTCCTGCGTCCCTCCAGCTCAGGGGCTTCCACGTTGCCCCACCCAGCTCTCCGCTGCAGGCTCTTCCTCAGGAAGTGTCTCCAGGACAGGCACTAGGATCTGCTTTTAATGGGATCTGACTTTAAAAATACCCTTCTATACAATGGCTCAGAAGTATCTGTTAAGAACCCAGGCTAAACAACAAAGGCTGAAACTCTTTCCAGTGTTTCTTACCTTTTCTATTCCTGCACTCGACCTAATGCACATTAGTGGACAGCAGACTTAAGGGAGAGGGAAAAAAGGACTGGGGGCCACTCAGAGCTCAAGTTTCAGGAATCTGCCGAGGGGGAGACAGAGTCAGCCCGGGTAAAGAGAGAAGCAAAGGGAGCTGCGGCACGCCCCACGCTTCTTCCACCTCACCCGGGGGCACAGTTTGCTCCAAGGTGAAACTGATGAGTAGTAATCAAGCACCGCCTGGGGCTTCTAAACGAGAGCATAAACAGATCCGATTTTTCCATCCAGAGAACAGTCTACATAAAGAATGGCAACAAAAGGCCGCAACCTGACTGTTAAACCAGGGTCAACACCGGCAGGAAAGCCACTGAAGAACAGACGATCCGCTGTGACAAGAGCCCACCAGGGACAGCAGACCAGCCTGTTCCTTCTCAAAACCCACCCGACATGAGCAGTGCCCCCCCCTTCTCACAAGGGTGATGAGCACTCAGCGAGTGCCGTGAGGGCCCAAGTGCAGTATTCTGCCGGACACTGCTCCGGGCACTGGAGACAGAGCCTGGGATAGAGGATTCAGTCTGCAGTGTGGGGCTGGGGAGACGGGGCTGCCAGTGACATCATACTGCCTCAAGACCGGTCTTGGGCTCTTGGTTCTCTTTTTATTTTCAGTTCTTCATTTACTAACAAAGGGCCAAGACCCAAAGGGCTGCTGCATTACCCTCCAAAGAGGAAATGGAACCGGGAAGGCTGCTGTGGTCTGACTTATCTGTAAGGAGGATCTCCCGTCCACTGGAAATCTATCTGTTCGTCCTAAGTGAAAAACCAGGTCAGCACCTGCCAGGCGAGGCTAGTCAAAACTGCATTATCAATCAAATCCGCAAACTTCACTGGCTGAACTTTTACCTCATTTCACTTAAAGTCAGCAGCGGATTGGCAGGGCTCTCTGCCACCCTGTGGTCTACCAGCATCTCAACGTGTGGCTTCCAAGCCGAATTTGCCATGGCAGAGGAAGAGACAGCCAGGGGGTCTCACCCTGGCTCCTAAAAGCTTTAGTCCAGAAGTGACAAATGTCATTTCTGCCCACAGCCCTCTGGTCAGAACTACTTACTATACGGTACCCCCTGAGTGCAAGGCGGCTGGGAATATGGGGTCCTGTGGGGTCCACACTGGGAGCGCAGGACATGTGCCTAATGAACAGCTGCAGCTGTGCCACACAGCTCGCTGCCTGTGTCTGGGATGTGCCCTGGGCCCTGGCTGTGTGGCTCCGCGGGTGGGGCACTGCCCAGCGAACAGGAAGTTGCGGGTTCGTCTGCGGTCAGGGTGCGTACAAGAAGCAACCAATGGATGTTTCTCTCTCACCTCAATGTTTCTTTCCCTGTCTTTCTCCCTCCCTTCACCTTGCTCTAAAAACAAATAAAATCTTAAAAAAAAAAAGATATAAACTGGGCCTCTCCACATATTCGCTAAATATTTGGTCTCTGTCCTGCGCCCACTTCCACGTGGTAAAACACAGAAGCACACATCTCTACCTCACTGTATTCCGGTGTGTCATGTGTAACGAATGCAAATTCTGCCAAGTTAAAAACCCAACAAAACCCCACTCGGTCTATATCTACACTGAGCTTACACTCTGAGTATGAAACAAAATGACCTAAACAGGTTTGCCACATACCACCAACCATGTGACCAAGTTATTTTCTAAAACTGTTGTAAATTAAGACATTTCTTACATTTTAACTATTTGAAATTTTCCAATATGGATTTTCTAGAGTTGTGAGAAAAACCAAAGAGCATCTCGATGTGTCTGAACGTGTGGTCACTTGACTTAAATGGGCTCCTCCTCTCAACACAGTCACAGGCCCTACGGACGCAACGGCTTCTCGTTTCCTGGCACCGTGAATGCCAGCCTGGCACCATCAGCACCATAGCGAAGGTTTAGCGCATATGTTCCATCAGACATAGCATGAACTTGTGAAAAGCAATTCGTTATAATGTATAAAACACGTATTTACAGGAGAGGGTGCCATTTTGTGGACTAAATAAATATAATAATTGGGTATACAGGCAATTACTTTCGAACAGATCTGTTCATGTAAAAGCTCTATTTTCTATGTGTACTTTGCCTTGGATTAGGCTAAATGGAATGTTCTTCAACTGATAAACAGTAAACAAGCCTGGTCTATGTATTTAATGGGAAGAATCTTTAAGCTTGCACTGATGATGAAAAATCCTATCAATTCTGTGTCCTTCAAATGCTTAAAATAAATGTTTCACTTATTCTTGTGGGGAATTTCAAAGCAGAACTATTTGAAAATGTGAAAGAATAAGATCTTCTATGGAAAAGACAGTGGAGAAGAAACACGTTTTGCTAGGCAAGATGACTAACCCAAGTTCCAGAGATAAAAGAATTCCGTGCTATGTTTCAGTATTACAAACAAATAACACAGGCCATCGGGAATCCCCATTCACTTCCGTAGAAAGAAAAACGCTTCTTCGTGCCCAAGTAAACATCACAAAAGCTGCGTCAATGGTTTCTGCATAAAACACTGTTTCAGGTCATCAGATAACCACAGCAGCACAATGTGGGAAGACATTTTTTAAAATGAGTAAAAAATATATACAGAATTTCTTGTATGTGTAGCCAAAGTATCAGCATTTTCCATATAGAACATCCAATATTTTGCTGCATTTTAATTAAGGTGTCTAAACATTATCACAAAGAACTGCAAATTGGTCAGAGCAAGCGGTAAGGAAAATTAAGCTCTAAAGGCTTTTTATCACCATATTTCAGGAACCAAGGGTGTAAAATGTTCTAATTTGGGATATATTAAAAGCCATAAAAGGTCTTTCAAAAAGATTAATGGTACTTTGCTTGGATTTAAGATAAGGGCTTTAGCTGGTTGGAAAAGCAGGGCCCTGGCTGGACCCTAGAGGCATTCATCTTTACAGCCACTTGGAAGATTTGTAAAAGCGGCTGCATAACCTCAAGCAAATGCTCGGCGACATTTTTTTAATTCCTTTCAATTTTACAGGTTTAGCATGTGTAAATCATACTGGGTTGTAAAATAGATATAATGGCACATCTTGTACCATAGTGATTTTTAAAAGACAAACTTTCAAAATCAAGTTAGTTTTTCTTGCTAAACCTTGCCATTGTAAAGTTCGCTGATAATTGTTTGAAGCATCTGATGCAAACGGCTTAATCTAGCCTGTCAACTTCTTATCCATTTCATAAAATATTTTACTCATCTCAAAACTACTAGCTTGTAACAGATTTATAAAGTTTTCCTCCCTTTTGAATACTTTCAAGGCACTTATTTTAAAATGCCAATTATCATACTTTAACTTTTTATGGAATAATAGGTTTCTATGAAAAATATTTATGCCATTCTCTTTTGTTCTTTAATTAAATGAAAACAGATGTTTTCTGAAGTAAAGCGGAACCATTACTGGAGTACTTAAAGTGTCAAGGTCTTTAATTTTTATATCAGTTTGGTCGACAATTCCTGATTGTCTTGACTCAAGCTCAACATTAATGTCAAGCAAGTTACCTAGGAGACGAAAGAGATCAAAGAGACAAAAACCCCTCCAATGTCTGATTAATCAAGTCTGCAAACAGCTTATTTCTTTTAGCCTGCATGCAAGTATGAAAATGAGATTCTGGGAGCCGAACCCTGTGCAGATTTGCTCATTCTTATCAGAACAAAGCCAGCGGCAGCTCATTTCATGGATCATTGGCACTGTCATCGGCGCTACACAGGCCGGGTGACAGCTCCTCATTTTGAGGCTTGAACAAAATTAGCAAAAAGTCGGCACAAATTAGCCTCTCATCTTTTTGGTAATATGACATTATTCATTTACTTTTTATCCAATTTTTAATTTTTTCCTTGTCAGCTATCCCTTTCTAGTGTAGCATCCTAAAACACCGCCTTGAAAACATGCAAAGAAACAGCCAAAGTTGAAATAACATGCCAAGTTCAAAAAGCAAATAAGGGGGAAAAAAACCACTTCCAATGACTGATAATGCTTTTTTATATATAACTTTCACA